AAAATGTAGAGCACTGCCTCGGCTCATGAAAAAACCCTCAATTCACCAGCCCACAACGAATTTTCCAGCAGAGGTGGTGTTAGTTGCCAAGAAGATAACGTGAATTGTTGCCAGAATTTTTAAAAACCCGTAATCTAGCTTGATTCTATAAAATGAAAGGCAGTACTAGTTGAGCACTACTAGTAGGCTCTTCGTGGGTCGGATCATGTTAGCAGTAGGACAATAGAGCGAATATTTAGTAGAGAAGCAGCATCGAGTCGGCGCGCGGGCGTTGAGTCGGACGAAAAGGACGAAAGGGAAAATCGAGCACCGCCACAGATATGCTGCCATTTTAAAAAACCCACATCCGTATTTTGTAAACGCGTAAACCACTGAATAAACACCCCAAAAAAACCCCACCAAGCGATATTACGATTAAGTGCTACGCAATACACGTAGCGTACAAGAAAACATGCCTCCCTAGGCCTCTCCTCCCTTCTCTGCTCTACTACCCCCCCTCATCTCCATCTAGTACACCAGCACAACTCTAACCACTCTACCACTCAACTCTAGTGATTAATCTAGAAGTCTCCCCACTGGCCCAAGAAAATGGCGGTATAACGAATCGTGCAGGTGCGCCCGCCACCGCCCAGATTTCAAGCGTCTAACAACGAGGCGGAGGCAGAGCGGTACAAGAGGACTCGGGAGCCAACTAAGCCCCCGGGCCCGCCCGAATCGCACACCCCCCTCCGCCGCCGCGCGCCGCATCTCGCGGATCCCGTCGCGGTGCGCGCGCATGGCAAGCACGATGAAGATGTGCCAGATGCTGTGGGAGCCTGTGGGCGGGGCGTCAGCATTCATTCGTTCTCATTGTGCTTTCTCCTCCCCGAATCCAAGCTCTGCAAGGACGAACGGTTCGCAGGGAACGTGAGGATGATTAGAAAGGAAGAAACACGGCTCACCACCCCCACACATATCCGACACCCATCCCACCCACCCCCCTCGCCCACCAAGGAAGCGCTCCGGCACCTGCGTCGCGTAGGCGACCAGCCCGACGATGTAGTACAGCAGCGAGGGGCCGACGGGGCTGTAAAGTGTTGTTAGCATCAGCATATGGTTTCCTCATGATGAATAGGATTGATGGTGAAGTGGGGGGGGGGGGCATGTATATTAAGTCGAGAAGGCAAGGGAGGATCGAAGGCGGAGAAGGAGACAAAGAAAGAAAAGAAAAGCAAGGAGAAAGACACGCACCAACAAACCGAATCATCGTATCCCACCCCTGCACCGCCGCGATACCCGCGAGCGGCGCGAGTGCCGAGAAGGATATGCCCACGAAGAAGGCGAGGCGCCAGAGCTGTCGGGAGCGTCAGCGAGCGTGCACGCAAATCACATAAACAAGAGACGCACCCGATTCTCCACCCATTAAACCAATCGCAAAACGGGAGCACGTTCCCCGACACGCCCGCCGCCGCGCACAACAGAGACACCCCGCGCCGACGGGGTGGTACGCCGGCCACGCCGCGAGGCTGCTCGTTGCGTTGCTCGTTGCCGACATGCGTGCTGTCGCCGATACCGGACGCGTTCAAAGCAGAGGCGAAGTCGAGGACGCGAGAACGCGGTAGGGGAAGAGCGGGTGACGGGAAGAGACAGCGGAGCGGTGCGACGGAGGAGAGGGAGCAAGGGAACCAGCGGCGCCCGGCATCGCAAAGGCGCCCGTGAACGAGCACAGCGTGTCCGCAAGGACCGACCCACCCTCCACCCCATCCACCCACTTCCGCTCTCCACAACCTTCTCCGCACCGTGCAGGAGCGTAGACGGGTGCATGAGCGCCTGCACCGCGTCCGCCGCCTTCCCTTGCAGCACCTCCGACCGCGCCGAGTGGAGGAGCATGCTGGGGTGGAGGATGCTGTGTCCCAGAGGCGTCGCGTCGACGGCCTGCTCGGCGCAGGCGTACCCGTGGGTGCACGACCGTCGCGATGGAGGTGGCGATGAGCCTGTGAGCGGGGTTAGCGTCATGCTCATCATCATCGATCCCCTCTCTCGGTGAGTGAGAGGAGGAATGCCGAAAAGAGGAGAGCGAAGAGTCGCACCAAGTAAAGTAAACTCACCCACCCAATCCCGACATAATCCACCCGCGCACACGCCTCCATCGCCCCGCGGTGCGCACACCCGCCATCGTGTGCCACAGGCGCCTGCACGCGAGGCACGCGAGCGCGAAGAGCGTGAAGAGGACTCGCGCGTCGGGGGTGGGGTTGGGGACTGGGGGAGAGGGGGGGGGTGGGATTAGGAGGGGGAATAAAGGGAGAGCGAGCCACAAAAAAGGAGCGAGGGAAGAGGGAGGAGGAGGGGCGTAAAAACGAATAACTCACCCCCAAACACCGTATACCGCGCCCAATCCTCGCTACCCACTTCCGCCCCACGCGTCCGGCACCTCGAGCCACGGGCAAGCGGCTTGAGGAACTATACGGTTTTTTTTGAAGTTCAGACTGCGCATGTATGGGTATTACAAAAAAAACCACTCACAACGGCACCCCAACCCCCCAAAACGCCGCCCCCACAGAACCATCGGCACGAAATGGGTTGGATATTGAGCGACTCGTTGTGCAGCGTAAAGACGGAGCGCACGAGGGCGGGCCAGCGCGTGAGGGGAATGAATCTGTTGGGGGGTTAGTCGGGTCGGGTTTTGAGGAGGGATGGAGGGGAAAAGAAAAGGGGGGAGGAGAGGGGAAAGGAGCAAGAGCCGCGCAAAGACGACATGGCCGACGGCGGGCACGCACGCCGCGCAGAGGCACGGCTCGGCGGCAATGCGCGCGGCGGACAGTCTCGCCGAGTGAGCTACGCCTTCACGCATGCGACTCTGTTCGCTCGCATGCGGCGCACGCCGCCCTGACGGGGAACGCCACCGTGTTCGCCGAGTATGACGCGCGTCCGCAACGCACGTCAGGTCGGGCGAGGTAATGCGCGGTAGAAATGTCGCAAAGGAGGAACGAGATGGGATTGGAAAACAAACGCACCGATACCCTTCCACAACCCACGGATTATTGCGCCACTCGAGCGGCAAGTCCTCGTACCCAATCAGCTTTCTCCCGAAATCCGCGCGTCGGAGCGCGTCGGCGGGGGTTGGGCCCGACTCCTCTTCTGATGCCCCCTCGTCCGCCGCGTGCATAGCTGTGGTCGAGGAGGGACACGGCGGAGAGCGAGGCGCGGGAGGGAGGACAAGGGAGATGGACGCGGGGAGCGAGGGAGCGACGGCAACTCCGCCAGGAACGCATCCACGTCCGCGCGGAACGCATCGGAGCAGCTCCCTCAACAGCGGCGGCGCGCTAAGTCAAAGTCAAAGCTCGGGCGGCGGAACTCAAACGTCGGCCGAGCGATAGCGAACTCGAACTCGAAGCACGGGAGCTCGGCGGCGAGGTGGGCGTGCAGACTGCGGAGGCGGGCAGAGAGGGTAGGGACGTAGGAGAGCGGGGAGGAGAAGTCGAAGTCGAGGGAGGAGGAGACGAGGCCCTTGACGTTGCTGAGCCGGGACTTTAACTTTTCTTTGAACTCGGGGAATTCGAAGTAGTCGAAGTCTACAAGTCGAAGTCGAGCGAGAGCGCGGGGGAGAGGTCTAGCGAGGGGAGGTCCGGTAGGTGCGAGTGGACGTCGGCGCGGATTGAGCGTAGCATGTCTAAGGCAGTGGATGCCCATTCGGCGGATTCAAAGAGAGAAAGACGACGCTCAAGGTCTGCGAGGTAGGAGAGTACGAGGAAGCGCAGAGAAGCTAGAGCCTGAGCAGGAGACGCCGGGGACAAGTCCAGCGCTTCGAGGACAGGGGGAGCGGGCGGCACGGCGGGAGGCGAGGCGGGGCGGCGCGCAGAGGCGGCGCGGACATCCGGGACGGCGCCAGACGGGGCGGGCGGGCATGGGGTCGGTGGCGGGCATGGTGTGGAGGGAGATGGTCATTGTTGGGAATAGGAGGGATCCACAACGTCCCACGTGAAATTTTTTATGCTGTTTCCTTATTTGTAAACCGCAAACTCTCTACGTTCATCGCGGTGTTTCCTATCGGAGCGCATCCTCCAAGGTTCGATACCTCAACATATCAAATGCAGAGCATGCTACCAGTCACCCCAAGGGCCAAGACATTCACTGGATCTTACCCGAGACAGGTACACATCCACATCACAGCCCGACATCCGACCCGGCCGTCCGGAATCTCCTTCACCCTTCCAGTATCGAGTCTTCTCATTCTGGATTAGAGTGCCAGGCACGGTCAGTTTTAACTTGAAACTCGTTGCTCGGTCGCCGGCTTACTCTCAACGCACCGGCCGCCACGGATGTCTACCATCGCGCTCGTGCGCAACGGTGTGATTCCAACAACGACTGGCTTACCTCCTGGACTGTTCGGTCGTTTGAATGTCTTCGGGATTTCACTGTCGTTCTGGTCAACTCGACCACAATCTTTTGTCGCGGTTTCGTTTTAACTTAGATTGACCCATTCAAGGTCAGTGTGTGTCCATCATGTCTCCGTAGCTCAGCGGTAGATCGCCTCGGCTTCATATGTTGTTATAAATCTAGCTCATACAGAGGAGACGTGGGTTCGAATCCCACCGGAGGCGTGGTTGATTACGGCTTCAGTTTTTGTCATGCAATCTTAGAGTTGACCCGTTTTCAGTGTTCATCACGCCTCCGTAGATTAGCGGTAAATCACCTCAGCTTTATAGTTCAGAGCTATCAAGATACATGAGGGGTCGTGGGTTCGAATCCCACCGGAGGCATGTGGGAGATCTATCAATGTTTTTCTTTCTTTAGTGGTTCGATTTTTTGTCGTTTGTTCCAAGTTTGTTCAACCGAATTGACCCGTTTTCAGTGCCCATCATGCCTCCGTGGATTAGCGGTAAATTGCCTCAGCTTTGTATATTGTCATGGAGATATGTATGAGGACTCATGGGTTCGAATCCCACCGAGGCATGCCCATTCCTCACACGCTTTTTCTTTCGTGGTTGAATTTTTGGTCCCTCGTTCGGTGTGTCCATCATGCCTCCGTAGATTAGCGGTAAATCGCCCTGTCATTCTGATCTTTCTCGTCAACCATAACAGGGAGCTGTGGGTTCAAACCCCACCGGAGGCATAGAGGCTGTTGAGAGATTTTTTCTTTCGTGGTTGATTTTTGTTGTTCCTTCCACCTTGCATTAACCCGTTCACGGTGCCCATCAAGTCTCCGTGGATTAACGGTAGATCACCTCAGCTTATTGGTGGTGAAGAGATATTATTCTGGGTTTGAATCCCACCGGAGACATGCATGAGATCTGAATTGTTTTTTCTTTCGTGGTTTGATTTTATCGTTTAGCCTTAGATTGATACGGTGTGTCCATCACGCCTCCGTGGATTAACGGTAAATCACCTCAGTTCATTGATGGTGAAGGATATTTTATTCTGAGGAGACGTGGGTTCGAATCCCACCGGAGGCCTAGGCATGCGGGCTCACCAAGCTTTTTTGTTTCGTGGTTGATTTTTGTCGTTCGTTCCACCTTGCAGTAGCCTGTTCACAGCACCATCACACCTCCGTGGATGAGCGGTAAATTGCCCTGTCATTCTGATCTTTGTCATCAATCGTAACAGGAAGCTGTGGGTTCAAATCCCACTGGAGGCGTCCCCAGTATCTTCCATACTTTCTCTTTCGCGGTTTGATTTTTGTCGTTAGTTAGATTGACCCGTCGGAATGCCCATTACGCCTCCGTGGATCAGCGGTAGATCACCTCAGCTTATTGGTGATAAATAGATATGATTCTGAGGAGACGTGGGTTCGAATCCCACCAGAGGCATTGTCGACTATGAACTGCTTTTGTCCCGTCTTTCTTTCTTTCTTTCAACTCTCATTTTTTTTTTTGAATCTCATGTATTTCATTGAGGTGTCCATCACGCCTCTGTGGATTAGTGGTAGATCACCTCAGATTTATAGATATGTGCTCAATTGATTATGGGGAGCTGTGGGTTCGAATCCCATCAGAGGCATTTGTATTGTTGAAATTGGTTTTTTTTGGTTGTAGTCGCGAATTATCTGTTTTTTAAAATTGTTTTCCTCTTTATCTTCCCTCCCTTCAAGGTCATTTTCGTTATACATCAACCCCAAGCAGTCGGAGCTCAGAGTCGGAATCAACTCAAAAACTACACATCACACAACTGAACATTGAACGCCATCATGCCTCCGTGGATCAGTGGTAGATCGCCCTGGCTAAGTCATGGTGGAGAATTAAAAATACATTGATAGGGAGCCGTGGGTTTGAACTCCACCGGAGGCATACAGGAGCTTTAAATCTTTTTTTCACGTTTCGAGAAATCAACTGAACATTTGAACACCCATCACTCGGAGTCGGAATTCAACACCATCATGCCTCCGTGGATCAGTGGTAGATCGCTCTAGCAAAATATAAGTTTAATTAGCTTTTGACAGGGAGCCGTGGGTTCGAATCCCACCAGAGGCATTTGCATAGAAATTGGTTGCATTTTTTTGAAGATGGAGCGCGCATTGGTTTTTTGTTCCTTCTTTCAAATTTTCTCGATCCCAGTAGTCTGTGCCTCCACTAGTACTCATCTTTCAACAGATATCCAACTGCTCAAATAGACTTTAGCTTTTAAATTTATAGACTACTGCACTGTCTGGTGGTTCTAATTAATTTCAGACTAGTTAGGCTGCAAGGAATGTAAGGGTATGAAGCCTCTGTGGATGAGTGGTAAATCACCTCAGCTTTATTCAGGGGGAGCACTTGTAATACTTTCCGAGGAGCAGTGGGTTCGAATCCCACCAGAGGTGTGTATAAGATTTGGTCAGCTTTTTTTCGTGGTTCAATTTTGTCATTCTTTCTACCTTAGATTGACCCATTCACGGTGTTTGTTTTTCGCGCCTCCGTGGATGAGCGGTAAATTGCCTCAGCTTAAGAATTTTGCAAGATGTTGTTGTACTGAGGAGCCGCGGGTTTGAATCCCACTGGAGGCACGGATCCTGATATCGGACTTTTTTGGTGACTAGTTCACTTTATTTTCAACCACTGCCCAATCTCTTTATTTTAGTGTTTGAAGATCACGATGTGGACTCATATAGCTCATTCTTTCTGGGAGGTTCATTGGGTATCAGTTGAGAACCTAGAGGGAGGGTATCAAGCCTCTGTGGATCATGGTAGATCTTCTCAGAAAAATGAAAATAAATACTGTGGTGGGAGTAGCCTGAGGCGTAGTGGGTTTGATTCCCACCAGAGGTATTGCAATTTCTGTCGTTTTTTTTGTTCCTTCTTTCAATTTTCAGAATCTTATTCAATTGTACTGTGCTTGACCCATCTTTCTATGTCAATAAAATTCAACCAATGATCCAGTTCCCCAACATTGGGACAACAACACACTTTGTCTGCTTTTGTCGAGACCTGCTCCTACTGCACTGTCTCATGTACCTCTAATTAATTTTCAGACACTGGTTAGGCTACGAGGAATGCAAGGGTGTTGAGCCTCTGTAGATCATGGTGATCACCTTAGACAGGTTACAAATCTACAATTGAATAATCATTGAGTAGTGGGTTTGAATCCTACCAGAGGCATTAAATTTCTTTATATCTGTTTTGTTCCTTCTTTCAATTTTCTGAATCTCACTAACCATTCTGTCTCTACAATACCCGGCTTCCAGGTTGCGGTGTCAATGTGATACCGAACTCAACCAATAATCTAGATACAGGTTCCCAACACTACTTTGCTTCCATCAAGTCCTGCTCCTGCTGGCTGTCTCATGCCTCCAATTAATTTTCACACCAGTTAGGTTACGAGGAATATAAGAGTGTCAAGCCTCTGTGAATCACGGTGGATCGATCCTGAATCATAGCAATAGTTTGTCATAGATTTAAGGGTAGCTGTGGGTTCGACTCCCACTGGAGGCATGGGAAGGGAAAACATCCGGGTTTTTTGTCCCTTCTCTCAATTTTTCAGAATCTCATCCAACCATTCCATGCCTCTGCTCATCTTTAGCCAAATGATCCAGATGCTCAACAATGGCCTCGTTTCATCTGTCTCATGGTTCTAATTAAATTTCAGATACTAGTTAGGCTACGGGGATGTAAGGGATCAAGCCTCTGTGGATTATGGTGGATCACCTCAGAAAAATTACGAATCCGTGAATAAATATCTGAGGAGCAGTCAGTGGGTTCTAATCCACCAGAGGCATAACATGTGATTATGATTTCTTTTTTTGTTCCTTCTTTCAATTTTTCTAAATCTCAGTAGTCTGCGCCTCCACAAATACTCATGTTTCAACAGATACCCAACTGCTTAGACTCAAACAGACTTTTACTTTTAAATTTATGAAGACATGCTCCTACTGCACTGTCTTATGCCTCTAACTAATTTTCAGACACTAGTTAGGCTACGAGGAATATAAGGGAATGCAGCCTCAGTGGATCATATTGGATCAGCCTTGAATTATAGGACTTATATCATAATGCATGGGTAGTTGTGGGTTCGATTCCCACCAGAGGCATAGCTAGAAAACATATTTTTGTGTTTTATTCCTTCCTTCAATTTTTCTGTGGCTCTACAGTACCTAGTCTCATGGTTCTACTTTCAGATTCCTAGGTAGGCTATGAGGAATACAAAAGGATCAAGCCTCTGTGGATCAAGGTAGATCTCGTCAGAAACATAGCAGTGTATGTGCACAGATGTACGAGGAGCAGTGGATTCAACTCCCACTGGAGACATGTTGATTTTTTTTTCCCTTCTCCGTTGTCGGTTACTATCATGTAGCTCGGAATTCATTTTCCTGCCTTCACAACTACAAAAAATAATACGAAATAAACCGAGCCAGATGCGTGCATCTCAAATTGCTCCAGTCAAAGTTCTCATTAGAATTTACTTCAACAAATATATTCAGACACAATTAAAACACACTCAAGGTCAAATATGCATGTTAACAAATCCATAGTAGGATCTCCTTGAATCTCGTCTAACATCGCAAGGTGTTGAACCGTGGGAATCGGCCGGGAAGTGCCGCCGGTCGGTTTAAATTCCTTTGGTGACGCGTTGCATGCATATTCGAGCTCAATCAGATATAAAGCCAATGAAATATGCCACCCTGCACTTGAAATATTACTAGTTCCGAGCTTTCAGCTCTGGAACTTCCCACTTCTGATATCAAGGAAGGCCCGAATAAATAGTATCTTGTCCAACGCCCAAGATGCGGAGTTACCGCACCCTTAAGCCAAGACCATACAAAGGTCCCTCAAATTCAGTGTCCGATTCAAATGCGGGAGCTTTTAGTAAGTATTTTATCACCAGCAGGACACCGCCGCGCAAAATAGTGCACCAATTTAAGAGCCAGGTGCCAGCCCTCGGAATCCAGGCATCCCATTTTTGAATATTGCGTACTGGAGTCAGAGGATTATTTTTTGCTTGGAGACTAAAAAAGAGGTCTTCGATTGTTACCCACGACAGCACAAATTGGCCCTGTACAAGTTGTCGGGCCAAATATCTGAATGGGACTGTTACGTTTGGAAACCCACTCATCCAGAGAATATTTCTCGAGTCCACGATGTTGCCAGTGAACAGAGATAAAACCGGGTCGATACGACCCTTCGTCAGAGCGCTCGTGAATGGAAGCACCTTAATATTCGACATCTCGCTGGAATTATTTGAGGTCAAACTGTCCCATACCGGGTACTCAACGAGCCCATTTAGCCATTAATGTGAAAAAGAAAGGGTAGCAGGGAGTACAGGCCCGATTATCCGTGACAACTTTGCATCGCATTTTGTGAAACTAAATGCTAAAGTCAAATCAAAATTTCCGGCTCCGCTCCATTCCCCTGCAAATCTTCGAGAGCGCGGAAAAGCCTGAGCTCCGGAAGCGACTGTCCGCGCTGGCGCTTCGAATCCACCGCGTCCTCAAGGGCGTCTCGCACGCCGTCTAACGTAGCCTCCTTCGGACAAAGTGTGAGGGTTTTAAGCTGCGGCCACGGTTGCGAAGACGGGCCTAGAATGTTGTTAATGAACTCTCGTGTGAAGCATTGGTTGCCCAATGTTAGCGACGAGAGGGCAGGGAAGAGCGCGAGTGGGGGAGATGAGATTGTGCTCGACAACGAGATATCCAATTCACATGTACATGAATCTCTGTTGATGAAGGACAAGGAGGTCAAGGCAGGGAAGGACGAGTGATCGAGACTCGTCGCATTGAAGAGGGCAAATATCTGGTCGCCGTGGGTGCCGTCGATTATGAATTCGGTCAATGCGGGGGTGTCGAAAAGATCGACTATATGCAACAGATAAAACTCGTTTTCGATATCCAAGACCAAGATGTGGAGGAATTCCAGAGTAGGGAGGTGAAACTGGCGTGCCACGGTGGAGGGGATCTGTCTCATGTCGATGTGTAGATGAACCAACAACGGGCATTGTGTCGCAATCGCGACAAGAAAGCTGTTATCAATCCAGTCGTCCGATTCGTAAGCTCTCAATACATCCACATGCGTAAGAGAGGCCGCCCACTGACTCGCCACCTGCAATTGGAGTTTAATGCCATTAATTTTGAGAAAGCGCAACCTCGGGGCTCCGGACGAGAACACTTCAACAGTATTCCAATCATTGTAGTAGTTGGGGAGTCCTGTCACGGTAATCTCGAGGTGCTGCAAATCGGGAGCTGCTTAGACTCGCGACCAGTCGTTTCTCACGCACCGATCACGAGGGCAAGAAGATCAGTGCTGGGTAACGACTGGAACATCTGGTCGCGATTTTGGCTCACTGTGGAAAGTAAAGGTACTACATGGGAGTGCATAAGCACTAATTATGCGAAAAAAGCACTACATATGATGTCAATAATTGGTAGTGCTTTGGGGGGTACTAATTCTGAGTACTTCTTGGGTACTACCTCAGAATACAATACATATGAGCACTCATGATCAAAATACCTGAATTCTATGCCTACGACCCCTATCTGTCACTCACCCGGGGTAACACTTTTGACAGCTACCTCTTTTGGACCTCTCGGCTGTGACCGAACGCGTCTCTTCTCGCCCGACGTGTCTCTCGCGCGATCGCAGTATTTTCTTGATACAGTCTCTATCACAACCATCCATCTTCCCTCTGCTCTTTCTTAACCTCAACCACAAGTCACCATGGTCCATCCTTCTTTGCCTCGTATTGGCGACTGGGCCGACGACGGACGTTGGGGCAACGTCAATCTTGTGCATTCTGTTTTCTTCTTTTTCCTGGCCCCGTTGTTCCTGGTCTTCTGCAGTCGCGTCTTGGTATCCCTGAAGTTATTGGTCAGTCTGGATCAATTTCTGGGCGCGATGATGATGAGGGAGACAACCCGACAAGGGGGGCGGTGATTTCGACGATTACGATGGTGTGCTGAACGAGACAATTCGATGACCATGCCCTATTTGAAGGCCCAACGCTCACACCTGGAGACGACGAGAATCCTCTCCATCACGACCATTCCTTCTCGCAACCGCTGCTG